GGTTCTTTTCTAGTGCTAAATTAAATACATCATTTGACTAACAAAAAGGCGTTTGATCTGCGGGCGTTTTCCGGTTTCGCACTCATCAGAAACTCATCTTCTTGAATGAGTCACTCGCACGTAAAAGGAAATTGAAGCTCCAAGTTTCCTTAAATGAAACTATCATCATCATCACAACCTGTTGACTAAATGGGCAGTTTTTCCACGTTAATATTGCTTTTATTTGCAGCCCGTCCCGGTATGTTGGACCTGAAAGGAAAAGCCAAATGGGACGCGTGGAACGGAAAGAAAGGTGTGTCCCAAACGGAGGCGAAAGAACAATACATTGTCAAAGTGCAGTCGCTGATCGATTCGCTGGGTCTCGCATAAACCATTTTGCTCAATTTGTGATGGGTAATGTAAGTGATGTCTACACGTAAACATACACATTCAGATTTACTGTTTACAGTAACAGTTTTTGATTACATTTTTTGTTTTTGTTTGTTAAATACACTAACAATTTAAAAAACCGGTTGTCCCAACAATGGGGATGTTTGGATTTTGTGTATGCCTTTGGCCTTCATGTGGGCCCTAATCCAAATTCCCAACTTCCTGTCATAGAACTTACAGGGGGCAAATAACCATTGACTAATTTAATGGTCTATTTGTACAAAAAAATAAATCTAGGTCAGTCGGTTAAAATAATTCAGGCAAACTCAAGATTTACGCCTGCTAATACCGCGAGTTAATCTCTACTCCGGGGCATTTTCTGGATATTGTGGGGCCTCATCTTTAACACTGGCGCGTGATGAACGAAAGTGGATACTTTGGTGCTTTTTCATGCTATTGGAGTCATAAAAACCCTTGCCACATACTGTACAGACATACGGGGTCTCACCAGTGTGCGTTCTGACATGTACAGTTAAATTGGACTTCTGAGCGAACGGTTTGCCACAATACGTACAAGAATAGGGCCTGAAAATGACACAGTCTTAAGCAAAGCTCGTCAGGTAAGAATTTTTACTTTAAAGCGCTCAATCATCCCTAGGCTTACCGTTCTCCACTATGTACCCTCTGATGGACTTTAAGATGAGACGACTGGCTAAAGGATTTCGAGCATGTATCACAGTGAAAGAGTTTAAAACCCGAGTGCATCAAACTATGGTTGACCAAAGTCCCGGCATGGGCAAAGGATTTGTTGCAGATTTTGCACTGATGGGGCTTTTCTCCGGTGTGAATCTGAACTTCATCAATTGAGCAGTAAACATTTGGGTTTTGTTTCTAGCTAAAGTTACCTTAACGTGGGATTGCAAGTCTGCCTTCCTTACAAATCCCCTGCCGCAATCGCTGCAAAGAAAAGTCTTCTCCCCATGCTTCGCTTCGTGCTTTTTCAGTAAAATCAACTTGGAAAATTCCCGTTCACATAGCGGGCATTTGAATTCCAGCTTTGGAGTTTCCATGCTAGAAGACTCGGTTTTATTGCCGTGCAGTTTAATAACATGCCGCTGATATGGCTTTAATCGCACAAACAGTCGCCCGCAAATCTGGCAGCTAAAGCCAGAACTTGCGCTTTCTTTGTGGTGTTTGTTGGTATGGAGTTGCAGGGAGATGGCTTGGATGAAGCCTAAAATCGGGGATTAGAGCGGTAACAGTAGTAGCTTGAATGGAAGGCTAGAACCTTTTTCACATTTTGTGCATTTGTGCGGCCTTTCTCCTGAATGAATCATTTTGTGCCTACGCAAATTCCCTTTCAGGCTAAAACGCAGGTGGCATTTATCGCATTTGAACGGTTTGTCTTTCGTATGGACCCTCACATGCATCACCAGCTGGTATTTGAACCGAAACGTTTTGTCACATTGCTTGCATTTGTAACTTTTCTCTTCGCCGGTGTTTGATTCTTTCAAGTCGTCCTCAATTGCTTTGTATAAAGGTTTGAAGGGTGTGCGCTTGGCTTTACGCGGAGTTTTTTTCGGGGTAGATAATGGCACAGTCTTGATGACATCCTCTATAGACGAGTCTTGATCAGTCTCAGTTTTAGTGATGCGGCCTTGCAACAGGGACTTGAAAAGCAGTTCGTTTTGCTCACAGGTTACTTGAAAGTTCACGTATAGGTTCAACTGATCAATACAGATTGTGCATATTTTCTGGGGCAATTGCTCGTTGTGCAAATCCTGAAAACTCTTGGTAGAAATCGGGTTTTAGTGGACGGGACAAGTATTTTTACCTCGGTGACGATGAATTTGCTAAGAACTTGTGAAACCAAAACCCCATTCGGGAGGCTGCTTTCGGATATCGGGCTCAGAAATTCGTCCGATAAGCAGGTTCGGCATATTTTCGCGAATTTTTCCGTATTATTTACCTTTACATTGCTTTGGTCGTCCCACATTGTTATTATTTATTTTTCCAATGTTGTAGGTTATGTGTGTTTCCCACAGATCACCTCTGTGATCTGTGGTGTTTCCTTGTCACCATAGAGAAAGTAAAATAATTATTTTACTTACTCTATGCTTGTCACTGTGAATGTCAGGCAATTGAAAAATTGCCAGTTTTCCACCCGGGAAATCRAATGTTCATRATTTGCTCGCTCCATTGCCCGTAATGGCTAAATGAGGAAAAGGTAAATCGTATCCTAAGCYCAAACGYCSWAAGTTTTTGGTAAATTCCATTCAATTCAAGTGCGCAAATTCCGGAAAAGATGATCTTAACCACACTTAACATTGCCCCACTATCAGCGCAATCTAGATTTCTAGATAAATCCAGCTAAACATAAAACATGTTCAGACGTGCTCAGTTTCGACTGCAGTTAACACCTAGAGATACCAGTTTTTATTGCTGCCATTCAGCGCAGAACATTCATTACTTTAGTCGAAAATCAGAGTTAACTCAATGACTGATCGTAGGCCTACTTCAACGCCTGAAGGCGTAGCGGAGGCTGAAACCGTCCAAAGTACTTCAAGTTCAAGTAACGCAACGCCTTTAATAGTTGCCCGTAGATCTGAAACATCAGCCAGCCTTCAATTGGCTGCTCTGATCAGCTTTATACTGAGAACGAGCCAAACTGACCCAAAGGTTTGTAGATAGGGCTGATTTGATTATACAGGGTCGCTTTGCTGTATGGAAACCGGGGATTAGTATTTCCCAATCGAACAGAGCTAGAACAAAATGATTAGTGCAAAAAATTGTTTCTGGTTCTTTCCAGTTTATTGACAAAGAAAAAATGGGGTAATTGTTGTAGCAGGGGCTTTTAGATATTCTCCAACTCGTCTTGAATTGTCGGCAGGTGCAACTTTCATCAGAGCATTTTAATAAACTATAAACAATAAAATTCCATAAAAAAAATTAGTTAGTCGTAATATTCCACCCCGAATGGTTTCCCTAAGATTAATGTTTTATCTAAACGAAAATGGCATGTTTTTTTGGATTTATTGTTTTGTTATTATTTTTATTTAATTGCAATGTTGTCATCTTTTTCAGAGACTCCCCACTTATAAGCAAATTTGTAAGCAATTGTATAAATTGGGATTGATAAACCAAAGTTGGAGTACGGCGGAACTGGAAGGAGCCAGAATCCAGTATGAACAGCAAATAATTCGGTTGTTTAATGGCAGCCCTACGAGTCGCCCCAGTACTTCGCTCTCATTCATCACTGATTATCAGATGAAATCGCAATTTAAGAGGGAGTTCCATGAAATTGGGGAAATCGGATCAGGTGGTTTTGGACAGGTATTTCGAGTAAAACACAAACTCGACGGCAGGGAATATGCAGTTAAAAAAATACCCATTGCCACCGAAGAAATGGATTCGGTGGAAACTTATCTGAGCGAAGTGAAGACTTTAGCTGCACTGAACCATCCGAATATTGTTCCGTATAAAGCGGCTTGGCTCGAACTGCCTTCCCAAACTGATACCATTGGACGGTCGTCAGGCGATCAACAACTTCTAAGTGAAAGTGAAGCATTCACGACAGACGAAAGCAGCTCTCTAATTAATGATGCTGATCTGCTCAAAAAACACAAACGGTATGTTTAGTACAATTTCCAGGAGGTTCCACATTATTTGCTTTTGTTTTCCAGCAGCGATTCCGCGCCAATCGACAAGGCGATTGTTCAGAAACACAAACCCAAAACAGTTCCAAAACTGCCTTGGGTCACCCTGTATATTCAGATGGCCCTTTGCCAAGGTACCCTGGATTTATGGCTATCCTGGAAGAATAACAGGTTTACATCCAGGGCGGCGCTTGTTCCTTCAAACGCCCACCTCGTAAGGACTGATGCCATTCGCCAAGTACTGATTCAGCTATTGAGAGGTTGGGCACGTTTGCGCCGATGAAATTCGCATGATCGAACAATTATTGATGTTTTCAGGCGTGGACTATATTCACTCGAGAAACATTGTCCACCATGACATTAAGCCGGGGAATATTTTTGTGAGTAAAGAACGGGATGATCTTTTGGTTCAATTGGGCGATTTTGGACTGGCATGCCATTTGCATAGAACGCAGCAGCACAAATTCGGTGGGGGAACTCCGATGTATGCCGCCCCAGAACAACTCGAAGGAGTTTGCGATTCCAAGGTAACAAAATTTACAAAAAATTGTCAATATCTAAAGCGGAATTACTGGAATTGCAGAGCGATCTATACTCGGTAGGAGTGGTACTGTTCGAGCTGCAAGAAGATTTTGCAACTGGCATGGAACGATGCAGGAGAATCGAGGAATTGCGCAACGCGAATCATCCTCTGCCTTCAGAGTTGACTTTGGACAACTTGGTGCCTGCTTTAGTGCGACATCGGGCTGATGAACGCCCCGATGCTAGAAAGGTACTTCGAGCCCTGGAAGAGCCCCATGGTGCGTCGTTTTGCCAGGCCTTAGACCAGCTCAAGGAGAAAGACGCTGAGATCGAAAGGCTGCGGGGACTGTTGGAACAGAACGGTATACAATATTAACTATGCAATTGCCGATGCTTGAAACTGATGACTTTTTCGACCCGAAAAACTCAATGTGATATGTATTTTTGTTACTTGCGTGTTCTTAGAACATTGCCGACTGATTTTGACGTCCTTTATACAAAATAAACTTTTTACAAGTGGCGTGTTTCTTTGGAAATAGCGGGGCAGTTCAAGCACAACATATTCGCATCGTTTATTTAATAACACAACATTACATCATAAAATTGATTTATAAATAGATGATATTTAGGTAATTATGGTCCAAATACAGGAATCAAATTTTCTGTTGCCTGCCAGAACTCCGTTCGCTGTGGTGCCTCTTATAAGCCAACCGGTTAAAAAGTTAATAAATTAGACATAAACAATCATAACGTCATTTTAGAGCTGTTTTTTGTCGTCGTCAAATGAACATTTTCAACGTTCGACCAGAGCACAATTAAAAATCTAAAATACCCAGAAACTCGGTTTTTTTATCACGTTAGGTTTGGATTGTCGCTGGGGTCCTTGTCCATGTCTTTGTCGCCTGCATTATCCCAGCCCACACTAAACATTTCTTTGGCTTTCTTGTCCCAAACGTTCTTGTTTCGTTGAATGTCTTTCGTCTTTGCAGCCACCTGAAACAACCACGTTTTCTATACCATGTTTTTCAGCTTTAATATAATTCATTTCAGCTCAACGACAGCCGAGATTCTTACCTGATCATCGGGTTTTCCATAGTTGGGAGGATTGGAGTATGGATCATAGCCGAGAACGGAAAGCATGGGAGCGATTTCTGCCATGTCTCGCACCACATCATCTGGAATGTTGCCCACCCATTTGGTAAGCGCTTCGAGATTTACTGGCTTGATCACTTGATCGGACGATCGCTCCACTCTGCAATGCAAAGAAGTTTTGTTTTTGAGTTTTTCAGTTTTAAATGTACGCAAATGTATCGCAATTTCACAGATATTTATATACGTCCGAAACGTGGTTCGACCAACACTTAAAGAGGCGGTTCTACAGCAAAATTCAGTGTGGCCAGTTCTTATAATATACTTTTTCGAATTCTGCATGCGCCTGAAAACGTTTCCTTTATGCACTGTTATCTGTTGAGGAAGATTTTACATAATAATTGCAACTTATTCGGCCACTATCCCGCTACCGAACAGTTTCATTAACCGTACCGGCGCACAGAGGTCGTTTTATTTTATTTAGGAAGTAATAATTCATTAAAAAAAGCAACAACAAAAACATTATTTTTGGCTTTATCTTAAAAATAACATTCCATCTAATAAAATGCTTATGTTTTTTTTATTTAATCGTATTAAGTTACTAAGTTTTTGGCCACCTAAGTGACACCAATATTCAAATTGTGTTCTTACTTGAAATAGTCGTTATTTATTTCCTTATTAAGTTCGATTAATTATTGGCGGTGTTTGTCATCCGTTTTGTGTAATTCAGATTTTTCCCTGTTAAAGAGTTGGGTAAGTACTTTACATCTTTGTATTATCGTTATTTTCTGATACTTGAAAAAGCCTTTAAAAAATAAAGAAAGTAGCATTACTGATAATTACTTATTGAAAAAGAAAATAAATGGTAAAGTTGCAGATTTCGCACGCACGTTGCAGTTGCAGCATGCACATTTTTTTCCTTAGAACATTTTCTAAAGTTTCAATCAATATGAAATTTGTGTGCCAAGAAGTGCCTATATCGAAGAATTTGTATTTTTTGGGAACGATGTCAATTCGGAAAAGTGATATGTTTGATGTTTCTGCTATGTTTTAAATAAGCTTCATTTAGAAGATAATAAAGATGACAGCAAAAGTGATTCAATACAAGAAATGGTAAATAATTTTACTAGTTCTGTTTCGAAAATGTGCAAAAACTGCAATCGCACTGGAAAGGTTTTCGAAAAGAGACATTCTGACTGGCTGGA